CGAGAGGTGCTAGGGAAGGAGAGAGGTGCTGCAGAAGCACAAATCACCCCAGCAGTGAGGTCCACCTCCCGGGCCTCAGATCCTCCTTTGCCTCTTACAATTAATCTCTGTAGATTAGAGTAACACATTCTGCCTGGAGATAGGGGGACCCTAGAGTCCTATGGACAAGAAAAAGTATGTCATTTGTAATGCAGGTGGGGACAGGCACCCCAGATAGGTGGGACCACAGCCTCTGTCTGAACACCTCCGTGATGGGAAAGCTCATTGCTTCACGAGATAGAGTCATCTGTTGATGGACAGCTGAGGTGTCTAGAAAGCTTCCAGATTAGGGAAGGGCTGAGAGGGCACTTGTGCAGATTGTGTTTTGGAAAAAAAACTACCATTCAAAATTTGGTTGGATGGAAACCAAACAGGGGTGTAATTTCAATATGTCTTTTTCTACCTTGTCTCCTGCTTCTGCTTTCTGAAACTAAGCAAAAATAGTCCACATTTACTGAGGAGCATAATGAGTCAGGCTGTTCTGAGTACTTTACCTGTATTACTGTTTTAAATCCTCACAATACCTTGTGAAGATGGGATTGTTACTTCCCACTTTATGGATAAGGAAGGGGCGTGCAGAGGTGACAAGGAGCCCAAGATCCTCCAGGGTCGCTGGGGAATCCAAGGTCTGGTTCTAGAGCTTTATTTCCTTGCTCTGGAGATAGCTTGGCTTTTCCACTGTCCACTAGGAAAGCCCTTTGGGCCTTGTGCTGCACCACTGGCCTTCCCCTCTTCCTGTCCCTGCTTTCCAGTGTGCTTTACTGAAATGTGATATACCTGGCAAGCTGCCCTCTCACAAGCAGGCTCGCATGCTGCTGACTGAGTGAAGACCAGACCTGAAGCGAGGGCTGCTTGCAATGTGAAGGGAAGGCTACAAGCCAGGCACGCTAATTACCAGTGAGCTGAGGGCATGAAAACCTGCAGAGGGCAGGCACACTCACTTTTGGACTGAGATGGGCACTGTTGGCCTGGCAGGCATGCTGAGACCCTCTTCCTGAGCCCTTAGTGTCACCCTGGAGGGCTGTTATGCCCCTTGCTGAGAATCTGAGCATTTTGAAGGCAGGGTCTGGTTCCCAGCACATAGGCGCAGTGCCTGGGCATGCTACCTTCAGGAGATGCAGGTTTGAAGCTGAGCATGCCAGAATCATACCAATCATCCCTGAATGGCTGGCACAGGCTGCTCTGTAGTGGCAGTCATGCCCAGAAGATGCCCGTCATGTGTACATGTGGTGTCTGTGTGTGCTGTGGTTTGACCTGTTGGTTTTGGCTGTGAGTGTGGGGTTGTGTTTACAAATGTGAGTACAGGGTGTACGTGTGGGGAGCATGGGTGTTACAGGTGTGCTGTGTGTGTGTCTTGGACATCTTCTGTGTGCAAGAACTACTGTGTGTCGAGTGTATGGCCTGTGTATCTGATCGCTGCATAGTGTATGTGTCTGTGTGTTTGGTATACAAGTGTGATGTGTGTATATGTGCCCTCAGTCTATACCACCTGTCAGGGGTGTCTGTGTGCCCTCTGCATGTTCCGTAGCGGGCCCAAAATATTAAGCACCTGATGTGCTTTATCAGTACTGACCCGGAAGCCAGCCTGTGGATAGATGCCCTTGATGTCCTCGTTAGTGATGAGGAAGCTGAGGAACAAATAGAAGCCATGAATTAAAGTCATGCAGCTCAGAAGAAACCAGGTTAATTTAGGTCTAGCCAACTCTAAAAATCTGAGTGTCTAATGAATGATTTGTTCTAATGGTGTTTGTAAATAGGATCTCAAGTCTGCATCTTGTACAGCAATTAACCACTAAGAAGAATATATGCAGTGTGTTATTTGTTGAATCTGTACTTCCGATTTGATTTGAAACTATCTCATTGCTATCTGTTTATCAATAAAATTAAAAAATAAAAAATAAATAAAAAATATTAAAATCTGAGTGTCTAATCCGGTGGTTCTCCAACCAGTGATTGCATGAAAAGTCCCTAGAAGACTTTTCCAGGGTACTCTGTCTCCCTGTTGCTCTGACTGGTTTCCTAGTCCTGCATGAGTTGGAATCAGACCGCGGGTTTCACCCCTTCTGAAAGTTCTGGTTTATGAGATTGGAGGTGCATTTCAAGATTTTTTATTTCATAACAAAGAGATACTGATGCTGCTGGTCCGCAGGTTCCCCTGAAAACCAATTTATAAATACCCTCTTTCTGATCCTCGGGTAGAAAGAGCAAGACAGTGGGTTGAAACCAAAATAAATGGCTTTGGATTGTGGAACACAAGTTGCTTTTGCCATGTCAGGTTTCCGGGAGAAATAATTTGAGAGATGGGTGAGAGAGGTGTTTGCTTATAAAGAATGGCGTGCTATTAAGAAAGAAGAGGCAGAGTCGGCAAAGGCATCTGCCTCCTTTCTCCAGACTGTCAGCTTTTAGCTACCCCTGCCTGTGAAGCTACCAAGAAACTGCCCCCAAGTGCTGGAGTCTATCTTCTTAGTAGTCCTGGACAAGATGATAAAGCTGTATTTTTGAGGAGACAATAATGCTCTGCATGGTTTTCTGTGTATGTTAAATATTTTTCTTACGAATACTTATTCCTTGTAAAAATCATACCTTAGTCATTGTAGTCATTAGTGCTAGGGCTGGGAAAACAGGGTCTTTGGGCTATCGTGCCTCCCTAGTGCTCTGACGGGTTTCCTCCTCCTCCATGAGCTGGCAGCAGTGCTACCTGTCTCAGTGCATTTTTCAGGGTGGTATGGAATAATTCATGGACATCTCCTGACAGTGCTTGGCACATGGCAGTCTAGTGTTCCCGGTATGTAGGGTCCTTTTTTGTGCTTTTTGTCCTTTTCTCTATATGCTCATCTCTCTAGGATCAGAGCACAGCAGAGAGGCTGCAGTAACTACAAGCTGACAGTCTGGAGCAAGGAGGCAGATGCCTTTGCCAACTCTGTAGTTTCCATGATTGAGAGCAATTGGGGTGAAGAGTTATGCAGGGAAGGGAAGGTTGCAGATGTTTTTAGTGTGACAAGGCCAGGAAGCAGAGAGCAGCATGTGTCTGCTGCCACCTCACCAGCTCGTATTGGAAATGCCCTAGGACTGGAATCAAGTGCTGGCTCCACCCTTGGCTGGCTCTGCTGTGTTCCACATGACTGTGGCTTTCTTGTAGGATTCCTGCACATTCTGGAATCGAGGAACCTGAAGGTTTGTCAGGTTGAAATTCTGTAGGTATAAATTCTATAGAGCCTGATTCCCAGAATCTGCTGCATTTTAATTTAATAAGCAGCCTTTTGTGTCCTTGGAAACGTTTCCTCAGGTGGAATTCTTGCAAGCGCTGGGATGAAGTTAAGGTTTAGTCAGTCCTGTGTGCTCTTACTCATGGGTGCTGGTGTTCCAGGACCCTGCTGAATGAAACTGAGATGTGAATCACATTAGATCCTTGAGGTGTGGGTGAGAAGAGGGGCTTTGGAAGGCCACCGAGGTGTCAACCACTGCTTGCTTGCCAATTGGGAAAATCCAAGTGTTCTCCTCCTTACTCTCCTCCTTTCTCCCCTCCTCTTCTCTAAATCTCTTTTTATTCCAAAGCCCATGGGAATAGCTGGCTGCCAGACATATTGCAGGCCAGTGGCTGCTGTCCTGCCAGGGAGCCCAATTGTCTCCATTACACGTGGTGGTCAACCAAGGCCTAGGAAAGTGAAAAGACTTACAAAAAATACTACATGAGAACATTCTGAAACTGGAAATTGGCTGTAACTCAGAACCTCTCTGACTCTTGTTTTCTTATGTGCATAATAAGGCAAAAATCTTCATCAGAAAATTATTACAAAATGAAACAGACGGAGGAGAAAAAAGGCAACACATAGAAAATACTGTTTAGCAAAGTGGCTATAGTTGTGGCCAGTAGTAAATTCAGCTTTTTTCCATTTGGTCCTGCAGATTGAACCCAGGGCTTTCACACTTGGCTATATTCTCAGCCAGTAGTTACTTGACAGGATGTCTCTAAGCTGTTCAGTCTGGCTTAAATTTGTGATCCTTCTGTTTCATTCTCTAGGAATGCTGGGAATTCAGGTGTGTGCCCCAGTGTATCCCTGGCATCTAGATGATTTTGCGTAGTCAAAATTAGTCTCTCTGAGTGTCCTCCTTGGTTTGTTTCTCATCCTACACTTGGATTATTACTATTATTATTATTATTATTTTGTTTTTTTGTGTTACCAGGGATTGAACTCAGGACCCTGTGCTTGCCAGGCAAGTGCTTATTCTACTGAGCTATCTCCCTGGCCCCTTGGATTATTTTAATTTTATTTATTTTCCATCATTTCAATTAACCTTCTTGTATTGGCTTTCAAGTCTCCCAGCTTGGAAACTTAGTGTCCATTGATCTGAATTCAGTATCTGCCTGGCTGATGCTCTTGCTTGGCTTCTCAGGGTTGATAGCACTTATACTTTTCCTTGAAAAGCCAGTCACTTACATGAACAAGATTAATAATAGAATCCTTTGCAGTAGTTGCTACCATTTACTCTTCCCACCACTTATTGGAGTTGTATATTACTACCGATCCTCGTGTTGCTGATAGAATGCTGGGACAGAGAGGAGGTAAATGACTTGCTCAAGGTCACCCAGATAGAAATCAGGAAGGTAGAGTCACTTGGCTTATTAAAGGTGCACTCGGAGCTGGGATGGTGTGATGTGTATAGGAATGAGAACAGGGCAGTGGACCAGCTGGTCCTTAGAGTTAGAATGCTTGCACCTGAGTTCTGGCCTGGCCTGGTATGAGATGCATGATAGTAACTATGTCACTCATTTCTCTGTGTCTTTTCTCTTAAGAGGGACCCCTGAACGGTGGCATTAAGTAGACACATGCTGCTCCACTTGGGCCCATTGGCCTGATGTCCTTGCCTGTCCATGCACTGTTTGGTTCCTGTTGCTGAAACCAGGATCCCATCCCTGCTCAAGTGACACTGTCTCAGCTGTTCATTTCTCTTTTTCTCAGGTAATGAACCAAAAGGATCATGTGTGAAGTACAAGGAACAGTTGAGTTTGCGGTAGAGCTGCATAAATTTTATAATGTGGATCTCTTTCAGCGAGGGTGAGTACGCTTTACAATTTGTGTGTGTGTGTGTGTGTGTGTGTGTGTGTGTGTGTGTGTGTTTATTTTATTATGGCAGAGGGCAGAGGTGAGATAAGACTTTGGGGAATGAATGAAGAAAGGCTTTTTATTGTTCTTTGTGCCAAGTGGAAGATTCAACCTTTAGTGCATCTGAAAAAAAGGTGTATATTGACGAGTAATCAAAAACGCTCTCTCTCCTGCATTACCTTCTACCTTTGCTCTTGTAAACAGCCTTTTCCTTAAGTGCAGCAAACCTCACGGGAAGCACACCTGTGGGAATTGAAGCCAGTCTGTGGAACTCTGGTAACTCTCATGTGTTAATACACTCAGCACTTTGGGGACGGTTTCCCCAATTCATATACAGTAAAATGTTAGCCTAGATCCTTCAGAACTGAGCATGCTTATACTCACAAGCATGCCCTTTAAAGACATATAATAAAACCTACTGCTTTCATTATTCTGAGGATGTGGTCTGAAATGCATGCATGATATCAGTGATCCTTCATTGTGGACTTACCTCTCAGAATCGCTGTAAAGAATAAGATGTGAAATGATTACGCCAAACAACCCACCACAGAGTAGAATTACACACATTCACAGTGGCTGCAACTTTCCTCATGTTCCTGATGAGGAAGCAAAAGCTTACAGAACCCGAATTTGTTACTTGTTACAGTCAATGATTAGCCAAAGCCAAGGTGTCTGGAGGTTTGCTTTTGCTGTGGAGCAACCTGCCTTAAAAGTTGGTGACATGGCTGGAGATAGAGCTCAGAGGCCTCCCTGGCAAAGGCAAGGTCCTAAGTCTGATTCTCCATACAAACAAGCAAAAAGAAGCAAAAACTCCCCAAAACTCAGTGGCTTCTGATCTCTACTTTCAGTGCATACATGTCATTCTGAGTGTATGAGACATCAGATGGTCTCACATGGTTATGGAGAACTGGACAAGGGCTGCCTGGTCTGGTCTGGGCTTCTTCAGAGGTCTGGGCCCCAGTGTGGGTTGCTCTAGATTTTTTCCTCTGTGGTCCATCCTTCATAGATTTTTTTTTTCTGTTCTTGGTGGAACCAGGGATTGAACTCAGGCCCTTGCACTTGCCAGGCAAACACTTATTTTACTGAGCTATCTCCCCAACACCCACCATCCCTCTTTGTGATCCACCTGTTTACAGCCTCCCAAGAGCTGAGATTGTGGGTGTGCGCTACCTCTCCCAGTCTCAATTCCTGGCTTAGTGTGCCCCAGGGGCAGGGCTGGCACAGCAGGCCCAGGGATTGAACCCCCAGCCCCTGTGCCTGCTTGCAGGTGCTTTAATCCACTGAGCTATTTGGCCGGCCCTCATAATTCTAAAAAAAAAAATAAAATTATAAACATTTCTGTATACTTAAGGGGGGAATGCGGATTTCAGTGTATGCCTGCAGTGCTCAGGGCTAGGTCAGGTTAATGAGCATTGCATCACCTAGAGAATGTACTGTTGCTTTTGTTGGGAGCATCGAAATCCTCTATTGCTATATTGAAACACTTGATTGGTTGTTGCTGCTCACTCACCCCAAATTATTACCGGCTGTTCCTGCTGTCTACCTGTGCCCATGAGCTGTGTCCCCACTCACTCCTCCCTACCACCCTTCCCTGCCTCTTGAAGCCACCATCCTATTTTCTACTTTTTTGAGGCAATAGTTTAATTTCTCCATGTAAGTCAGAATATATAATGTCTTTCTGTCCCTGGATTATTTCACCTAAGGAAATGTGTTCAAGTCTCATTCATGCTGCTGCAAGTAACCGAATTTCTTTCTTTTCCATGGCTAAATAAGATCCCACTGTGTGTGTGTGTGTGTGTGTGTGTGTGTGCCCGTGCACGTGTGCATGTGCTCGCGTGCGTGCACCACTTTTATGATGTTGCTAGGAAAAAAAGTCTGACATGCACAACTCAAAGGAGAAAAGCTTCACTTAGCTTCATGCTTCAGAGCTTTCAAGCTAAGGCAGAAGCATCGTGGTAGGTGAGGCAGAGGAAGGCTGTTCACCTCCAGCCATCTGTGAAGTAGAGAGGAGGAGGAGAGCCTAGACTCGGGCATGGTGATAGATCTCCGTGACTCCAGCAGTTTGAGAGGCTGGAGGCAGGAAGATTGCAAGTTCAAGCCCAGCATACGGATTTACTAACATGGTGAGACCCTGTCTCAAAATAAAGATAAAAATAAAAATAAAACCGGTGGAGGGTGTGGCTCAGGTTTGAAGCACTAGGTTCAATCCCTGATACCTAAAAAAAATTAAAATAGCCAGAGAAGGGGCAGGGCACCAGATGTAGTCCCAAGATCATATCCAGTGAGCCACCCAAAGACACTCAGACGTAGGCTTGGATAACCACCAAGGCATCTTTCAAGTTTATGGAGTTAACAGCCAAGACTAAGGGTCACAGTGTGTAACGCTTTGTTTATCCCTCTGTTAGTAGACTCATAAACTGAGGCCAGATGTCAGGCATTGTGGACAGGGCTGCCGTAAACATGGGAGCGAAGCAATCTCTTGGATGTATTGAATTCCTTTCCTTTGACAGTATATATACCAGTATTGGGATTGCAGGCTCTTATGGTTGTTCTATTTCTAGTTTCTGAAGGAACCTTTCTACTATTTTCCATAATGCTTGCATGAATTTACAATACCACCAGCAATCTAGGCTTGCCCTTTATAATAACCGTAGCTCACTATTGTTTTACTTGTAGTAGACTAATGATGTGAAACATTTTTTTCATAAACTTATTGGCCATTTATTTATAGATCTTCTTTAGAGAAATATCTGTTTAACTCATTTAAGTTTTGCGGCCAGTCTTGGAATTTGCATAAAGTTGTCTTTAATGCATTCTGCTAAATAAAGCAAGACTGGTACAAATTTGGGTTTGAAAATAGATACCATATCTTGATGAAGATGATAAATGCATACATACTTTTATAATTACTGTCAGATTGGACTCTAGTTACAAATGGACAAGCTATGTTATTATTATTATTATTATTATTATTATTATTTTAAGATTCTTCTTTCATGGGGCGGGGAGAGTAGGATCAAACCTGACAATGTTAGAGATGAGAAATGATTCTGAAAGGTGGACATACAAGGGCTTCTGGTGAGACTCAAAGGCTGGGCTAATGATGCAAAGCTTATGCATTTTCTGAAAGCTCTTTTTCCATGACTCACACCTCCTGTGGTCAGACATTACAGGAAATAGTGACAAGATCCCTGGGTTGAGAGTCTTGGTAGCCCAGACTCTGCTTCTGTCTCTGAGGGCAGAAACAGGGTGCTGTAGTACATCTCTGCTTCCTTCTTCACATCCCATATTTATGAGAACAGGAAATAGTTTGGCTAGTTCATGTGTCATCCTGTATTAGACAATTTCATATTCGTTACCTCCTGACTCCTTATAATCAATGGCAGAATTAAGCAGCACAGTCTTCCTTTGCCAGAGAGGTAACTTGGGATCAGTGAGATCTTAAGCCTTACACAGCCTTACCCTAGCCAAGTGCTGAAGGGGGCTGCAGGTGTGGCTTTTTCATGCAGATTGATTGATTGATTGATTGACTGATTGATTGATAGATTTAGACACAAAGTCCAGGCTGGCCTTGAACTCACCACAGTCCTTCTTCCTCAGCCTCACTAGTGCTGGGATTATAGACATGTGTCACCATGCCTGACTCAAAACCTTGAATAATTTTTTGTTATTCAAAGTTGGTCTCCAAGGTGGGCTGAGCCCTTCCCAGGTTGCAAAAGATCTCCATGAGGGTGCAGGAATAAAATACTGGACATTTACTTAGAATTATTTTATCTGAAAAGTAGAAGAAATGCATCAGGGATCACTGATAATTGGAAGTCAGATTGCTCTGAAGACCCTGCTTGTGCCTGCGGTAAAGAGCCCTGAGTCCTATTTCAGCAACTCAGGCATCAAGACAAAAGGGCACATCCACGCCATGAGCACACTGCTGTCGCCCTCACTCTGCCAAATACTGCAGTTGGTGGCCGGCTGGCTGTATCTCGCTGCACATTTGTTTGTGCTTGAAGTATCCTAACCCCCTCATAATTCTAGGACACTCATGAGCTGAATGTGATATTAGTCTAGGGTGGCTGACAAGTACCAGGAAATGCTACGAGGGTGCTCATTCCACACTTTCAAGAGTCTACGTACACACACTGAGATTCAATATGGGGACTAATCAGATCCAGTGACAGGTAGGCCGTGAGATTTGGATTTATTTGGAAAAACTGTTTACTATACAGATTTGTAAGCATTTTCAAGATTCATCATCCCATTGGGCTTTCAGATATAGATAATCTTGTATAAATAGTCATCACTAGAAAATATTTCAAAATGAAACAGCCAAAACATCAACAGACGCTTGAGAAGTTGAGAAATTCAAAAAATGAGTACGGCAATCGTCACTTTTTCAGCAAGCCTGTTGCTTTTATATCCTCCATTTTGACATTCTGATCATTAATGGTCAGTGGTTAATTAGAATCAGCTTGATACAGAATTAGGTATCACTGTAATATATTATTTTAGTAAGAAGAAAAGGCAAAGGATTCCATCAGTATATGAAATGTCAGTTTTTAAAGCATGAATTATCTTATTTCCTAAAACAACATTTTTATATTTCTAGTGCATGTTGCATAGAGTGGAGTCATTCAAACACGCAATTTATAAATAGACATCCATATATTGGGGCTGCATGCCCACAGGGGTGTGTGCACAGAAGCGTGCAGATAATTAATAGTCAGAAACCACACTGCTAGCAGGTCACGAAAGGGCTCAGCAGCTTCTACCCCTTAATGCCAATCTTTTATGGTTCCCAGAAGTCTACTACACTTAGGCATAGGCTCCCTATGAGGAGAGGATGATACGTGTGCAGGGGACCTTCATGCCAGCTGCCACCCTGCACAGATTCAGGCATGGCTTGTGGAAAAGGCGTTAAACTTCTTAGGGGGATCCAGTTTGTTCCAGGACCCATA